GATACAGAGTAGTATACTGATTGTACTCTGTTGTTAGTTTCTTAGTGAAAGGAAAGAAACTTTCATCGAACAGCACATGTCGACTAATGTATATACGACCATCAGCAGGCACAAGACATTGATATCCTTTATGGCGTTCACTATATCCCAGAAATACACATGTGAGTGATCGTGGATCAAATTTATGTTGTGCATATGGTCTGAGACAGGGGTAACATGCACATCCAAAGAGTCTTAGATGTTCATAGCTGGGCTCTCGTTGATAGAGTTTGCTGTAGGGTGAGTGCAGTTGTAACTTTGGTGTAGGAAGTATATTGACAATGTAGTTATCTGTCATGAATGCATCAACCCAGTATTTTAATGGAATTCTAGCATGATAGAGCATAGCTAGGCCCAGTTCAACCACATGGCGATGTTTTCTTTCATAAATCCCATTCTGTTCTGGTGTATAAGGACAAGAAACACATTGTTTGATGCCACAATTTTGTAAATGAATCTGAAATTTGTTGCTAGTGAATTCTCCTCCATCATCACGTTGAAAAATTTTGATTCTACGATCAAATTGATTCTCTACTTGTTTCTGAAATATGACAAAGATGTCATAGAAGTCTGACTTCAATTTCATTGGATAAATCCAACTATAACGGGAAAAGTTGTCCACAAAGATGACATAGTATTTGAAATTCTGAAAGGAATTGACTGGTGATGGACCCCAAATATCACAATGAATCCTCTCTAAAGGAATAGTAGACGCAGATTCTGATAAAGGAAATGGTAATGCAGTACTCTTGGCAACCTGACAGCTTCTACACATAGTTTGAGTTCTTGTAGTGCAGTGAATCAATTGCTGAGACTGCAGATACTTTAATGTTTTTAAGTTGGTGTGAGCTAACCGCTGGTGCCATACGTCTTCTCCTACAGCTTTATGTCTTTGAGTGAAGAAGGCCTCTGTGATTTGTGGATCCACTCAGTAAAGTCCTCTAACTTTCCTTCCGGGCATCACTGTTGTGTTGGCACGATTGTCCTTTATATAAACCCCATTTTTATCAAAAACAAATGAACAGGGATAATCATCTGTTAGTCTTGATACTGAAAGAAGATTTTTCTTGATTTCAGGAACAATCAGCACATCATTTAGAGGTAATGAATTGATTTCAGTATGTAACACAGCATCACCAATATAGGCAATAGGTAGACATGAGCCATTCCCTATCATAACTGTATCAGTCCCATTGTACTTAGAGGAGTTATGAAGAATACCCGAATCTGCAGTGATGTGAGCAGTCGCACCAGTGTCTGGATACCACTCACTGCCTTTAGAATCTTCAAGATGCATTGCTGCTAAGGCTGTTGGAATCTCCTCAGCCTGGTATGAGTTGTCGAATCGATACCAGCAATGAAGTGCATCATGTCCTGGACGTTTACAGATTTGACACTCCAACCGAATAGTATCTGTTATTTTCTCATCCTGCAAATGTTTGTTAGATGTTAAATTTGGGGAGGGATATGATTTGGTATCTTGATACCTTTGTGAAGAACCTGCATATGAGCGAAATCCTTGACTAGAGCTAGAAAAGTTATTGAACTGCTTAAAACGTTGATCCTCCTGATTCTGATTCAAGCTATTTGGCCTGTAACTCTGATTTCTTCCAGGATATCCATAACTATGATTTCTACTGTTAAATGGACGTCCTCTGCCATAACTACGTCCTCCGCGGTTACTACCTCTTTGACCTCCAAAACCAAAGTTTTGCTGAACAAGTTCTCTGTCAGATTCCACCTTCTGCTGAACTTCAGATTTTCTTTGTCCATAGTAGGCTAGATGAGGATTGTACTGGCTTGAGGAATAGCTCTGTAATCTTGTTTCAAACCTTTCTAACTGTGATATTACTTCATCATATTCTGGTTGAGGTTTCAAGCAATACATGGTAGTTTTGAAATTGTCATATTCAGATCCTGATCCCTCAAGAACACCAAACATCTTAGTTATCTCATCTGCAGGCTTCCCAATTGCATTTAGCTGATCACAGATTGATTTGTATTCTCTGAGATAAACAGACAATGCTCGATCCCGTTTCTGACAGGCTTGTAGCTTCCCTCTTAGTTCAAATTCTCTAGCTACAGACTTCTGTGTGAATCGATTAAGTAAAGTTTGCCATACCTCATATGAAGTTTCCAGACCAATGATCAGACTCAGGATATTCTCAGATACAGCTCCACTGATCCATGATGATACCAGTTGATCTGTTCTTACCCAATCTGTATAATCGGGATTCACAACTTCAGCTTCATTACCTTCAACTTCAACCTGTAATGTTTGAGTAGGTGATGGAATTTCACCACTAATGAATCCAAATAGTTCTTGGCTTCGCAAGAATCTGTGGAACTGTGCTTGCCAAAGAAGAAAGTTGTCTTCAGCTAGCTTGATCGTGACGAAGTTGGAGATATTAACATGGATTGGAAAAGGATATTTCTGCGTTCTTGCTGCCATTCTCGTGATCTTAGATGAGGTTCTGATACCATGTGAAGACTTATGAATAGAAAGGAAGAAGAAACAATGAGAAAAGAAACAGAGTTTTGGATTTACTTCTCTCTGAATACAAGAAACGTTTCCATCTTTTGTGGTTCATCTCATTTGCTCCGTTCTCTTATTTATAATACACGATCTAATCATGAAGAACCACCAAAGGTGGTTTTACAGCTCATCTAATGAAGATAACAAACTAACAGAATAACAGAAGAAGAAAGTAAAGTTGTTCATTCAGTTAAATGCACAAAACAGAATAATAGTTCTGCAGTGGGAGAGCTCTACTCATAGTTCGACACGTGAAGCTGGAAGTTTTACTTTTGACTTCATCTCTTGCCTTCCTGGTTGAATCAGCAACATCTTCATTTCTTTTCTTTGTTGAAACAGAGTGCGCATTCATCACCATTTGATTCTTAACATTTAGTACTACCTAGGTTAATCTTTTCAATTTAGCGAGAGACCCACTTGACACGTGTCGCATTCTCAATGGCACTGAATCATAATGACATGGCAGTCCTGAACTACCTAACGACAACCTTCGCTTGGCCTTCAATGAAGGTTGACAGGCGTTGTGGTGACGACGATTATGATACGGAAACGCTAATTGCTAACATATTAATTGATTGCATCAATAATTTCTTTTGGCAAGTCCCTCCTCAAATAACTGTTCTCCATTTTGCTGATCGAATGTTCCTAGTCAAATTGACAAAGGAAACGGCAAGACATGAATACTTCGTGGTCAGTGATATGACGTCTTCGGATCAATTACGTGAATGCATAAACAATATATTTAGGTGAGATCGTTCGAATCCTCAATGCCACCACAGCCAACAACCTTCATTCCAAGCACGCTAGCAGATCAGGCTGATCTAAGATATATAGCCAAAGACAAGACTCCACTGTAAAACGGTTTTTAGCTTTTGCCCTTCATTCTAGAGAAAGTTGTGACCTCATGTGCTTGTCTTATGCAATGTTGGATGTACGAGATTCCATGGGATGGATGTGAGCAGGAAACCGAGTTTCCGTGAAAATGACCCTCCACCAGATAGTCAGTCTCCTTGTGAAACGAAGTGTTCAGTTCACATGCCCTAAGGATAGAAACTAGATGCGCAGTACTAACCAAAATCTTTTTCCATCACCAAAAACGATTGTCATAATTGATTAAAACACGAGACAGAAACGGCCTCGCTTCTTTGGCGGCATGGCGAGTTTGAACCTGCTTGCTTAGTGAATTCAATCCCGCTTTGGGGGCGTGGCCCTTGTGAATCATATGCTGTTTATTCCACTGGCATTTCGGTGTTGTTGCTGAGGCGATAGACTCAATTTCTGAGCTTGTGGATATTAGCAGTGGGCTTGAACCAAATAGTCCATAGCAAGTGAGACACTCGACCGTATGCACACATAAAGGATTTGCTAGCTAGTACTAAAACTCCAATCTCTCGTAACGTCAAGAAAGGTAAGATAAACCATTCCGGAGAGATTCACCTGGACAAGGTGAGAAATTTCTGTCATTTGATTATAATTGTTAAGGAATAGATCTTTCGGTGTGAGGCACATGGTGCATTTCCCATACCATGAAGTACGCACGATTAGCCTGCCCATGGTTTCAACTCGGACTGGACCTAATTCATGACATTAATTGCATTTCAATCAATTCGAGGTCAATTAACCCAAATTGAAGTTCCTAATTATAGAATATGATGTGCTTCTAGAGCTCTACATCCCAATGGTACTTGTTTATGGAACTTACAGCAAATCACCACCAAATTCATACCCGCCCTTTTGGCTTCGGTAGCTAGTTGTCCAACCAACCATTCCACACGTACCATCAATTTTCCTTCCTTGTCATTGCATGTCTCCAAAAATTTTAGTATGTTCTAGTCATGTCATGAGAGTGAAATCTAATTGAAAAACAGAAGTCGGAGCATTTAAAGAAAAAATTGGACAAGTGCCTCGTCTTCTCGCTTTCACAAAATGGGGAAATATCATTACAACATTAATGGTGGTCGATTTACTTCCTTTTCAACAAGAAAAGTTAAGTTAAATAATGTGATGGATAGATATAATCAAAATCCAAATTCATTGAAAGATTAATTACGTGAGGAGATCTACTATCTTCTCTCGTCAACGTTTGATTGATTTGGCATCAATAAAATCCGAATCGATTTATTCCCTTTGAAAAGAACTGGGAGGATGATGTCATTGCATGCATCATCATCTATATCTCATGCAAAGATGGTATGTATCTGACTCGATAAATCCCGGCTTGGTTCACTGAAATTGGTTAAGAACACTTTACTCATGTCATCATATATTATTATTATTGTTATTTTATTATTATAATTAGGTATAGAAGAATGCACCAGCCATCAGCAGCCACCAATGTTACAAGTTTCATATGTCTGCTTGTGAAGCAGCGTCGGCTTCAACACACCGAGCAGAATTTCACACCACCAAACCGGGTGAGTCGGAATAGGTCAAAATCAAAATTCGGAGACCAGCCCACGATCCTTCAACTGAGATTCTTTCTTGTTCCCACGCACCTCATTCGTCAAACTTTTCCAGGAAAAAAGAAAAGAAAAGAAAAGAAAATCACAAGTTCTTCGATTCTTGTCCAAATTGGCATCTGTGTAGGCGCATCTTCTCCCCCGTATGGCTATAACCTCACCCTTTTCGTCTCGCTAATCATTTCATTGACTTCGAATCAGAGGCGCATCATTTCTCCGCGTGACTATAATCTCACCCTTTATATCTCACTAATCATCTTTTGCTCTCATCATCATACCCTACCCTCTCTAGAGGCAAAAAGAGCGCTGCTCCTTTCATGGCGATCGTCGACCACGACGGGGACGCCCAACAGCCTCTGCTGCGAGAATCTGCTACGAACGGCGACCGCAACGGCAGGGATCATGACAACGAGGAGAAGGCGAGCTTGAGCGTGAGGACGTGGGCTGAGACGAAGAAGCTGTGGCACATCGTCGGCCCCGCCATCTTTAGCCGCGTGGCCGCGTACACCATGAACGTCGTAACGCAGGCGTTCGCAGGGCAACTCGGGGAGGTCGAGCTCGCGGCCATGTCCATCGCCAACACTGTCATCGTCGGCTTCAATTTCGGCCTTTTGGTAAGTACAGAAAAGAAAGAACCACCCACTAACTCTTTGATTCGATATTCATTTGATAGTACTCCGGAGATAGAAGTCATTCAACAAGACGATGGGGACCGAACAGAACTTAGACAATGTAAAGATTTCATAGAGTTAATTATACTGACGGATACCATCATGTTGCTTTAAAAGAAAATATGGGATTGATATGATGTCACAGAAATGCGAGTGTTGGCCGACCACCGTGTAGGCTTTTAACTTTCGTACCTCGGTTACTGCGAGCCTTCTTCATCGGTTATCTGATATCATACATTGCAGAATCCTAGAATTCCAGAATCATTTAAAGTCGCTGCAGTAGATTAAGTTAAATAATGTTGTAATAAATCGAGGTGCCTCGATTCGATCCCACATTAAATGACAAGTCGTGCCACCTTACTCGTAGAAAATGTCCGTATTTGCCGATGGAATTCAATCCGGGGGATTCACTTGGGCCTCTCACGGTCAACTTTTAGTCTGCGATGACATGATTTGTATAGAAACCCAATGCAAACACTGTAGTATTACCAAACTCTCTGTTAACTTGATTTTTTTTGTCTACCTTTCTCTTTCATCACGGTCTTCAATGTCGTCACACATTAATTTGGGCACGTGGAGGTTCGTCCAAACTAGGTGTGTCTCTGTCCCCTCTCTTTGGTTTTTTGGAATCTAGTGATGCCTTCACACTCATACAAGACATGAAAGACTGTAACTAGTCACCATTGTGTATCTACATATGCGAAATGGTGTGTAAGGTGCAATATGGGTTCCACTATGTTCTAGCTTTAATTTACTTCGACAGCAGTTTGGGCGATATATTCATCAACACTAAGGGATCAAAATCAAATTTGACTTTCACCGAAAGAAAATTAAACATGAAAGGGGTCGAGGCTTTCAAACCTCGAACCCTTTAAATTGATTATGTTAACTATGAAGTAGTATCGTTTGCTCGTATATGTATGGTATTACTTATAATACAAAAAAAAACATTATATTATACATCACTTTATGGATTAATCATGTCATCAAAGTGATTTTGGCTAGCTATACATTCAATTTGACATGATAAAAGAAAGAGAAATTGAGAGCTTCATGTCGACTTTTGAGTTTGGATTGTGATTATTAGTTAGGTATGGCGAGTGCACTAGAGACGTTATGTGGCCAAGCTTTCGGCGCAAAGAGATACCACATGCTTGGCATCTACATGCAAAGGTCATGGATCGTGCTCTTCCTGTGTTGCTTCTTGCTGCTCCCATTCTACTTGTTTGCCTCGCCGCTCCTCAAGCTCCTGGGGCAGGCGGACGATGTGGCGGAGATGTCGGGCACGGTGGCTCTGTGGCTCATCCCGTTGCACTTCAGCTTCGCCTTCCAATTCCCCTTGACGAGGTTCTTGCAGAGCCAGCTCAAGACCCACGTCTTGGCATGGGTCTCGCTGGCCGGCCTAGCAATCAACGTGCTCACGAGCTGGCTCTCCGTCTACGTGTTCGACTTCGGCTTGGTGGGGCTGTCCGTCGGGTTGGATCTCTCCTGGTGGTTCTTGGTGCTCGCATTATTTGCGTACACCGCATGCGGCAGCTGCCCGCTGACGTGGACCGGCTTCTCCATGGAGGCTTTTACAGGGTTGTGGGAGTTCGTCAAACTGTCCGCAGCATCTGGAGTAATGCTTTGGTAAAAATCCGTATTCTTATTCTCCATCTCCAAGTTACACTCTGCACGGGTAGCAATATTTGGCTTACTTGCGTCTGTGTTCTACGTCGATCTAGCTAAGTAACTAGTAATTTTTTTTATGACAAACCCAAGTAAAACGTGCTCCATTTAATGACTGGTTTTACAAGTTCTTCTAACCAAATTTAACTCTGGAGACTATGTCGTAATTGCGATGAAAATATTCACATGTAAATTGAAACTTGTTGATCTTGAAAATTAAGACCATCACTTATAACCCTGTTCCTTGTGTAGATTTTTTCCTGGCCATTAGAATTTGATCATCACATTTTCTTGATACTCTTCGAACAGTTTGGAGAATTGGTACTACAGGATATTGATACTAATGACTGGATATCTACAAAATGCCACGGTTGCTGTGGATGCCTTGTCCATCTGGTAATAAAGGATTTATCTCCACTTTGGTAATCTTATCGTTAGAAGGATTATTCACTAAAGTGTCGCCCGGTATGTTACTAATAAGTTTATACTTATACGTCCATGGCAGCATGACCATCAACGGTTGGGAGATGATGATCCCTCTTTCCTTCTTTGCCGCAACCGGGTACTCTCTCTCTCTCTCTCTCTCTCTCTCTCTCTCTCTCTCTCTCTCATAGCCAAGAACAAAACCAAGTAAAACATCTATTTAAACATAGATTCATCATCGAAAATCATATCAATCAATCATACTATAAGTAGTTGATTGAAGGGGAGTATCCTCCGCAAGTGTGCTTTATATTTATATGAAACTGGTTCATCAACAGCACTTGGTTCTATATGATAAAGAAGAGATTGTTTTACGATAAATTTCTAATGATTTCATACATGTTGAGTCTAATCATTTAGATGGAAATCAATGCTGTAAAACACAATGATGGATGCCACAGTCATTAACCCTTTCTGGGAGCAATTCAAGCAAAGTCCCAAATACAAGTACAAGTACAAGTCCAAACTGTTAAAATCAAAGTAAAGAAAATCCAAGCGTAAAGTGTGTCTGTATTGTATGGATTTTGCTTTAGATCTTTGCTAGTCCCAACTGCAAGTCCGTTTGATCATGGTCGTAGTTTACCATCTCTGATAACGTAGAAAATTGAGGAGAAGGATGATGATTTAACGTAGAAAACTGACAAAAGGTAAAACTTCATGTTGGTTTCTAAATCGGCTTTTGAATGTATTGTAATCTCTTCCAAAGCGTGGACCCTTATGAATGGTTTTAATAAAATTACATAAGCATTACTACGTAAACAGATTTATTTCTTGAATTAATTTGTACTCAACCTGCGAAAAAACTCTCTTTCGCCTTCTGCTGAATAAGCTTCCCAAATCAAGAAATCTGTTTATTTTTCATTCCTTCAATCTTTAATCTCTAGTTCACCTAAATTTCAGAGTTAGGGTGGCAAATGAGCTTGGAGCTGGGAATGGCAAGGCCGCGAAATTTGCGACCGCTGTATCTGTGGTGCAATCCACAATAATTGGTTGCTTCTTTTGTGCTCTAATCATGGTATTGCATGACAAATTTGCATACCTTTTCACTTCTTCCGCTGATGTTCTTGAAGAAGTGGACACGCTCTCTTATCTTCTAGGCGTCACCATACTTCTCAATAGTGTTCAGCCCGTTCTATCAGGTAAGTCTCCATATCCATCTATTAATGTATAGTTTTTCGGCTAGTAATTCTTCTTTCCCATATATCCACGGAAGGTCCCATGTATAATGGTGAAAAAGATATTTATGGTATTGATGTCCGATTGATCACAAGTGTACTTTCACAGAAGATGAGGTGGTTTGTTCAGTACTAGGGCAATCAATCTGACATTGGCTTCGGAAATAATATGTTCGACCAAAGTTATAGAATAAGAATCAAATAAAAGCAGCATTATACCACATGGAGCTTGCTTTGAGTTCGATTGAGCTCTCTTATGACCGCGTACAGGCAAGTTCGACTAAGTGAGATATTGATATCACAAAATTGACTCAATTGATTAACTGGTGAATTGCTATTAGCATCCAATACAACCTTAAATTAGAGCTTTAAAAACCAAGTGCCATACTTCATCGAAAACAAATTGTCCGATGTCATCTAGAATTCACTTAAAGTAAGCATGATACAACTTCGACTCTATTTGAACTCCTCTCACTACAACTCAAAATAGATACATGAGAAATAGGGTCAGCTGGAATTTAGATCATACACACGAGTTTCACCGATGCTGCAGGAGTTGCTGTTGGATCGGGATGGCAAGCGTATGTTGCATATATCAATTTGGGATGCTACTATGTTGTGGGTCTACCTCTTGGATTTCTCATTGGATGGGTTTTCAACTTAGGTGTTATGGTAAATTTTGGATCCTTCATTTAGCCTATCACTTATTTTTTTTCATATGCTTTGTTACTTAAGTTCAATAACCAGATGGTTTAATTAATATTAAGGATAACTTTGAATAATTGCAGGGTATTTGGGGTGGAATGATTTTCGGAGGCACTGCTATCCAAACTGTGATATTGGCCATTATAACAATTCGATGTGATTGGGAGAAACAGGTAAACTTCAAGTACATTTCATTTTTCTTCTGATCAAACAAATATAAGTATTAAGCATTCCATATTCGGTTGTTGCGTTTGTGCCGAATGAAATCTCCCATTTATGTCTGAGATACCTTAATGTAGGCGGAGATTGCTAAAGTGCGGGTTGCCAAATGGTCAACTCCAACCCTTGACGATGATGAATCAGCCGCCAGCTAAAACTCATTATTCAAAGCTAGCTACTAAATCAACTGGTGTTACAAAAATACGGGTGGGTTCTGTGTAGTTCATCTGATTGTTCATATTTAACACAATTAATCTATCGTAATCGGTTGCCAACTTATGACAAATGATCATTGTGCGAAGTTGCTTGTTATTAATTATCCTTTTTCTTAATAATTCTTCAATGTGGTTGGCTGAATCTGTTCAGCTAACTTTACTATAAATGTCTTCGCTTATGTAGGTTCGGTGTAATAGCAAGGACAAGGATGTATTGCACCAGTAGCATCCATGGCTATTTGCTCCTCTTCATGCAACCTTCTAACAACCCTCTTTGGCTGCATCCACAATCGATCGTCCAGCTAGAGAAATTACCATAAATATAACGGAGAGAGATGATTATTTGTCGATTTATTAAGCGTTCGAGAGACTCTAGAATTTTGGGTTTGTAGAAGGTTTGCTTGTTCTCTACGAGTTTAATTTGATGTGATCCCCAAAATGCATCGACCATTATGAATTTAATTGAAGAACCAACATATAAGTCAAATTAGGTGATAAAATTAAAGGTTGTATTCCAATTCTCTTTTCTTTTAATTGCGCATTGATTCTATAGTGGTGATCCTCCAACTTTCACGTTTTGAACTTTGTAAAGGTTTTAAGAAATTATATTTTATTAAATGATGTTTACGTAGTTACACGCAATAGTAGTTTCATTTACAGACAAACACAAATACAAAAGACTCGAGCTTATGTTCAAATCATCTGGCAAGTGCTTGCGTCCTTGGAAATCAATCGGACCAAAAATTTTGATAACCCAAGCTATAAAAGAAGAAGCCGGTGGAACTCATGTGTAAAGCAAATGGTTAAAACCCTAGCACAATGCACTTGGTGCATATAATAATAATGAAGCAATAAGAAACCTATTGTATCCACTAGGCTGAAATCTGGACAATTAGAATTCTTGGTTCCCACATGAATCCTAATAGATCCGTCGATCCACATTCAGTTTAGTAAATGTACTCGGTCCATGTAAGTCATCATCTTATATGTCATGCACACGCATGGTAGTAAAAACACGTCGAATCCCAGGGGGATTTACTGAATTCGTCGTGGACACTGACATAACCCACGCGCTCATCAATCCACCAGTCCTTTTGTTGCATCTTTGCTTTCATACTTTCCATGAAAAGGAAAAGAAATTTGAATTTCTTGATTTCACATCCAAATTGGCTTCATCTTCTACATCTCACTCGTTGCATTCTTTTCTCTATTCTGGTTGCTCTAATGAATCACTGCCTTCTCTCTCTAGAGGCAAAAGGATCATTGTTCGCTCTCACGGTGATCGTTGATGACGTCGGGAATGCCTACCCACCTAAAATGTTATGTGCATTTTAAAATATTACAAAAAGCTATACATGAATTTAAGTGTCAATTTGATATATTGAGATAGTTTCAAGAGCTTAAAATTGGAAAAAAATGATTAAATAATATGTTCTGCTAGATTGAAAATAGTAAAATGTAACAGTCGCTTCAAATAAATTTCAAATTTTTCTATATTAATTTCAAACAAAATACTCAAAGTTGGTGCGCAAAAAGCAAACGTTTTTAAAACGAAAAGGATCTTGTCATGAATTTTGTACTCTTTTTTTGCCTTAATTTCAATGAAGATTTTGAGTCTAGCCTAGTGCTCCACTTTAAACAATCAATACATATATTGTTTGTTCAGTATAGTCATGTCAATAATTATATCCCTGGGACCTTAGTCAGAAGAGACATTATATAGATCTATGACTATCGCCATTGTCGATGAGATAACTTAATGGAGGGGTACTGATAGCTTTCTAATTAATTAATGGTCAGGACAGTAAGCCTAGGCTCATTGTGCACTTCCCTCTATACCAAGTAATCAGATTAAAACTTTTTACATTCCTGCGGAAGATTTTGCTCAAGTGTTCTTGCAGTAACTGTGATGCAGTGAAAAATATCAGGAGCGCGCACCAGAAGCTCTATACCTTTGCCCAGGGAGATCATTAAGATGGATCCCAAAGTTCAATATATTCAATTGAACCTACATTCATTCAAAATGTTAAGTTATTAGTTATAAGCCAACTTTGATATATCGACTGTTAGAATTCGCTGCACAATCACAAAGAAAATATAAAATAAAAGCGAGAAAAAAAATTTGAGACGCAAGGTTTTATCCCGGTTCACCCTTAAACTAGAGCTACGTCCAGATGAGAATTCTACTATAATTAGCACATCGCACCCCTCCGTTACATCCCTCAATTATAAAAGAAAGAGAATATATATATATATATATATATATATATATTCAATAGCTATTCGTGAGCTCAAGCCCAAACTACTAATAAAATCACGAATTCAACATTCTCCTGTTGCTAGGAAGTATGAACAAAATCCAAACATTCTCCCACTTGGTGAATACTCCATATGCTTCTTTAAACCCAATACAGTTGTACACCATTCAAACTTTTTTGTACTCATTGTCTCGGTAAAAAAAATATTCATTATTTACATGTATGTCAATTTTCTCCAGTATTACAATCTTCTGTTCTACTTTCTCTCGGATGAAGTGATATTATATGATAATGTGCTTTGTTCTTGCATGAAATCCAGGATTCTTAGCCAAGAATAGAGCACTCTAGTTATCACACCCAATATTCACTCTTCCTTGTGTAAAACCAAGCTCCTTACACAATCTACGCATCTAGATTACTTCCTTAGCAGCATGAGTAAGGGCCATGTACTCTACCTTAGTAGTAGATAAAGCAATCATGCTCTGCCTCTTGCTCATCCAACTCACAACTCTACCGAATAGGGAATCAACATATCCACTGGTTGACATCCTACTATCAATGTCACATCCCTAATCAGCATCCACAAAACACTTCAGTTCTAACGCTGGCTATCCCTTTGAGCTTTTCATACCTTCGTAACATAACTCAAAGTTAAATGTACCGCAAAGATAACGAAACACCCACTTTACTACCATCCAATTCTCTTTTCCCAGATTGAACATATATATGCTCAATATTCCAACTACTTGAGCAAAATATCTTGACGAGTACATATGATGGCATACATCAAGCTCCCAACTGCGCTTGCATATAGAACTCTTGTCATCTCTTCAGCTTCCTCTTTACTTTTAGGACACTGGAGCGCTGATGACTTGAAACTTGTGGACATGGGGGTCTTCACTAGTTTACAGTCCTCCATGTTAAACTTTTTCAGCACACTTTCAACATATTTTTCTGACTTAACCACTGTAATTCGAGGTTTGAGTTGAGATTTTGGAGAGATCGATTGCGCAAGCGAGCAAGCGGTTTGGAAAAACAAAGATCTACGTTTTCTCTTAATTGGGGAAAGAACGGCTGGGCTTGAGCAAAATTATTCGATTTGAGTTAGATTGAAAAAATTTGAGTGAGATCTCAGTTAATCTCAGTTAGGGTTCTTTGGATTGGGGTGTTGGGTGAGCGTTCGAGGATTTGGGGTAAGAAAAGAGGGATTCCACAGCGACAAATTTTTTTAATTGTGGAAAACGACGCCGTTTTGATCTCTAGCGTCCACGTCAGTGCTGGCCGTCCACCGGTTGGTAAGTGAAGCGTTTCCTCTTTATATCTTTGAATCACCTTGATAACATTTATTTGATCATTTTTGGATTATCGAATTTTTTAATAATCTACCGGCTTTTTTTTTTTTGGTCGGTAATCTACCGGCTTTTATTTGCATAGGAATCGACCAAACTAATATTAGTAAATGTTTAAATAAGAGTTGGTAATCTACAATTAGTTGGTAACAAACTCAAATGAAGTTGGTGATTTCTTGTACAAGTTGATAATTCTGATAAAAGTCGGTAATTTTATATTTCGAAAGTGGTTCACTAAGAGCTTCTAACGTAAACATAATTAATCACTTTAGCGGAAAAGAAATGACAAGTGATCCAGATAAAGTTGGCAATTTAATATTAGAGGGTTAGGTGATTCAATAAAGGTTGGTAATATGGAACCGATCAAATTAGTGTTGATAAGTGATTAAGAGTCAACAATTTAAAAACTAGTTAATAACTTAATCGGAGAAAAGTTAGTGAATCACTGAACTGAATTTAAGGTTGTTAATTTTGTTTGGAAGTTTATAAGTTTAACAGTATTCTTTTAAATATAAATTATCCTCAAATAAGTTCATACTTGTTGCTGTCATCGATTTGGTGAAAATTCATCATAAAGCACACATTCGTACGTGAAAATTCATTATTTAAATAGAAACCAATTGAACCACACGGTATCGGGAGACAAATATCGGCATGAAATGCAGTTCATTAAGGAAAAACAAAAGGAAACTCATAGTGATTACTGTGTAACAATCCCCAGAGATTTATTGACCGAAACGAACATTAGAAGTGTCATAAACATACGCGGATAGGCAATGGAAAAGAGATGGATCTGAGTCTCCAACAGGTTGGGAACCAGCCAAGTCTGACTTTTGGGTGTTCAGACGGTGCCGGTGGTTAGTTTTTTTGGCTCCAACCGCACATGTCTTGTCCGCTGGTGACGCAATTTCGTTTTCGCTCATTCCACGTAGAAGATTAGATTAAAGTGAGCTGTACGGGCAAAAGTTTCTCCAAGTCTTGTCCAACGACCAAGGAACCATTCTCTTTCTCCGTTATTTTATTTTTCTGTTTTTGAAAACAGATTTGGCACAAAAATTTATTTAGTAACGTAATTTTTTTTTTTACATCCAGAATAAATTTTTAGTTCAAAAATAGATTTGAAATAGAAATAAAAAGTAAAAATTTTCAATTTTTTCTAATTCTGGAACAAAAAGAGAAATAAAAACTCTTTTCATCGCTTGCCCTCGCCTCTTGCCGCCCGTCGCAACCACCCACCCGCTGGTCTCTGCCCCCTGCGGCTCCCCGCCGACCGCCACTGCCACCCCCCGACGACCGCCTGCCGATGGTCGCTGCCACCCCCTGCCACCACCCACCCGTCCCCCAGCCATCGCTGCCCCCCAGCCGTCGCCTCCCGCCGCCGCTCGTCGATGAATAGAAAAGAGCGTAAAATGGTGAAATTTTGTATCATTATCAAACGGATTTCTGTTCCGGGAAGAAATATTTTGTATCGTTATTAAATGTGTATCTCTGTTCAGAAACTAGTTCAGGAAATAGAAATAAAAATATTTCTGGCTAGAAATTTATTTGTGGTACATAATGATTATCATTCGCGTCCTAATAAGCCGAGTAAGAGAATAGACGGATTGTCAAAAATTTGATCTCTGGACACGAAGGATCCTAGTAACTAGCTTTGTTAGAAACTTAAACTATCAAGAGATGCATACAGGCCCACAATCAATGCACATCAACCATATATCTTGACAAGTCTCCCCTGGTATTTTCATTTCAGAGCTAGGCTTAATAGAGTTGAAGCGAATCGATAGAGATAGAAGAAGGAAAAGTGAGAATCCACAAATAAGTTGATGTAGAAGGATACCTAAATTAAGGGAGAGCAAATCTAACACTGAACTCACACGTAAGGGAAAGATTGTAAAGATACATATGTGAGTTGTATTAGAAAAGTCACATATCGAAGAATTGATGTGGTATGTAGTATATAATATATTTTAGTTGACCCATAACTCATTCCCAACACAAACAAAGTAGATACATTTTGAAATCTCTTATGAGCGAGATGGAAATGTCTATTAGGATAACACTATTTTACCCATTTTATTTGACACTATCTTTGATAATCACATTTCGTGATTATTTTAATGTACATTGGTAATGGAGATACTTAATGGATGTGTTGACACTAACGTATGAACATAATGCACCTTCCCTTCTCATGGCACCATGTGGTGACCGGTCAAATTAAGAAAGTTATAGCCCGCGCACTACACAATGCAATGGGCAAAATAAACAATTGGACGCACCATAAACGAGTAATCGCTCTAAGCTCTGTTCCCACACGATTATTAAACCTCATCGTGTTCTTCCCCGCATATAAACTCTCTCTCTCTCTCTCTCTCTCTCTCTCTCTCTCTCTCTCTCTCTCTCTCTCTCTCTCTCTCTCTCTCTCTCTCTCTCATGGCGAGTGTGGCCGGCAACAGTGATGTTAACCAGTCCCTGTTGGCGCACCCAGTGAATGGCCATCAAAACGGCGTTGATCATCGGGATGAGAAGGAGAAGGAGAAGGAGAAGCTCACGACTAGAGTTTGGATCGAGACGAAGAAGATATGGCAAGTAGCAGGCCCCGCCATCTTCACTCGGGTGGCAATGTACTCCATGAACGTCATCACCCAAGCCTTTTCCGGCCACCTCGGGGAAGTCGAACTCGCTGCCATGTCCATCGCCAACACAGTCATATTGGGCTTCAACTTCGGCCTCCTGGTAATTCCATTGGACCCTTTTTATGTTTATGCTTGTCTTGCTTAATGAGAATAGTTTTTGTCTCGTCGTTCGCATTTTGGTGGTAAAAAACCTCTCACTCGAGCTTTCAAAGATTCAATCGTTAAGGGAATTAATAAAGTTGCTAAAATTGGAAAGAGAAATGATTAAGCGACTGTCATTAATCTACCATGACATTAACATTATATTCTAGACTACAAAAAAATAAATAACAAATAATTATAAATTGATATAGAGTACACTTTTTCAAAAATTTATAATTCACAATATAGTGTTACTCTCACAGTAATATATGGACTATTACGTTAGTAAAGTCCAATTGGAAATGGTATATGTGTCAGAAAACTCTGCTAATGATGTAGACAGATTGAGAGCTCATAGAGTTTTTTTTTTTTTGTAAGGAAAAGAGAAGTGAATTAGCTAAGAAAAATTGGGTTAGAGATCCACCGAGGTGGGTAGGGCTTAACCGGATGTGTCCCTGTCAGGGGAGATGCCAACCATCTCTCCTTTCATAGAGTTTAAGTGGGTTTATTGGCAGAAAAGTCCTCAAACATACAAGATAGATTAAGAGCAATGTCAGGTTCCAATTCACATCAACCCATGGGCCATGATATAATTGTGCACATCTCTCAAGAGCTTCACTCTTCCGCAATGGGTTTTTAACTTTCTTTTGATAAGCAAAAATGAAGATGAAAGAACGCAGAGATGCAAGTAGATTAACAAAGGTCAACTCGAGCCAATGGAATGGGGAAAGAGCTTTGAAAATGCCGGAAGGAAATTAAGTATGACTTCAAACGAGTCAAACTTAGATGAGAAGTGGATCTTTATTTTAATACTCCTTTTGAGGTGGTGGGACACAAACAATTGTCCATATCTCAACGTGCGGAATTCAGAGCCTAGTGGGTTAATATTTTGATTTGGCTTTTGTGGCCAACGTTTTAATTTGGTTAGCAAAACTAAAAGTCAAAAAAAAAAAAGTATCTTGTATAATGGCCACACAACATGCTTTGAACTAGAATTTGTGCATATCGTAAAACAGTAACTCCGTCAAAAAGTGAATTACTTATATTTTCACATTTATCATAGAACTACATGCAAAATATTTTCTAACAAAGATCTTAGGGTCCATTTTGTTATTGTGGCAAAACATTTAACTCTTAGTTATACTTATCGTAATATAGAAAAATTTTAGTTTATGAAAAACGTATTCATATATGAAAAATTTACACTTAAAATTCGAAAAGTGATTCTGGAAATTTCAAAAATCAAGTAATCTTTTGGAGTTGAACCTCTTCCGCCGCTAAAGGTTGGATAGGTGGTTGCTAATAAGAGGATCGAGCCACTGACTGTCGAACTTAGGTGGCCCGGAATCGAGGTTAGTCAAACTAGGCCCATAATCGAAATTGAACAAGTATTGTATGCATCTATTGCATGTGAGCCACTTCATCCTAGTCATCAGATCATGTGGGTTTCACATGAGCGTATACTATATAATGACTGAAATAGAGTGTGCTCACGTGTTTTGAATGCATGCAAGAATTCTTCATCGAAACTTGGTCTATACTTGCATTGTGTGTGATCATAAGATGAGGTGTTCTCGCGACCAAACTCGAGTATGGATGGCCTTCGTCGACTATCAAACTTGAGTTGCTGGAAGTCGATCCAAGATGGTCGGCGGTTGAACCCGGGTCCTTAGCTGCTGAACCCAATTCCCTAACAATCGGACTTTGGAGGTCGAACACGGGTGCCTCGCGGCTCATGGTTTATCTGCCCCCCTCCCCTAAACTGCACTCGTCCATTCGATGGCGATACTTGCGCACTCAATGGCTAGACCATGAATTGAAAGTTCAGTACATTGAGTGATTGTAATCAAAGTTTAGTGGTCAGATTCGAGATTCAACTATTTTAGTTCGGTGACCATTCGTGAAAATTCCTCATATATGTCCTTCAAAATAAGGAAACTTGCCTTCATCTCACTTAATTAGTATCAATCGAATTTATAACTGAATTAAATTTTAAGTGCTCGGGCTATATAAGATCCTCTACAATTTATGTGGGCAAGTAATGAAGATGCGAAAAATACTATATCTCAACTTGTGTATCACAAATCTAACGGACTTCATTTTTGGGCATGGCAAATTTGATTAGCTAGGCATGGCAAGCGCGCTAGAGACGCTATGCGGTCAAGCCTTTGGCGCGAAAAGATACCAAATGCTCGGCATCTACATGCAAAGGTCGTGCATCGTGCTCTTCCTGTGTTGCTTCCTGTTGCTGCCCATCTACATTTTCACGACACCGCTCCTACAGCTCCTGGGCCAAGCCGACGACGTCGCGGAGATGTCCGGCGTGTTGGCCCTGTGGTTCATCCCTCTCCACTTCAGCTTCGCGTTCATGTTCCCGCTGAACAAGTTCTTGCAGAGCCAGCTCAAGAACGTGGTCACGGCCTGGGTCTCGCTGGCAGGCTTGGTCGTGAACGTGGTCGCGAGCTGGCTCTGCGTGTACGTCTTCGACTTCGGCGTGGCGGGGCTGTGCGTAGCGCTGGATGTCTCTTGGTGGCTCATGGTTGTGGGGTTGTATTGGTACTCGGCTTGTGGGGGTTGTCCTTTGACATGGACCGGTTGGTCCGCGGAGGCGTTCTCGGAGTTGTGGGAGTTCTTCAAATTATCTCTCGCTTCTGGAGTCATGCTCTGGTACGTATCTTTCTTTTAGAAAGTCAAAGAGAGATTCCGTTTACTTCGGAGGCAATGCCTCCTAATATGATATCTTGAACTTCACTTATTTCGCGAAAAATAAATAATTTAAAATATATATTTTTTAAAATGATCGCTTATATCGCGTAAAATAATTAACTAATGAAGAGTTTATGTCTAAACATTGCTGTTGACGGTGAAAATATTTATAGTTCATTCATTTTTATAAATGATATGAGTGATCATTTTTTGAAAAATATTTTTAAAATTATTTATTTCTCGTGAAACAAATGAAGCCTTAAATGTCTTCGTAGTAGCCATTTTTGAGGTAAGCATATTACCAAGTTTTAGGGATCTCAATCGTTTTTTCTTCCCTAAATATCCTTGATTATTTTACTGTACAAATATTGTGTCAATAGATGGATGTTGCAAATTCTTAAAAGAATTTTAAATCTAGAAAAGTTTAATCTTTCCATAAGTACAATTTCTTCGTATAGTGTACTTTATCAATAATTTTTATTTTTTTACGAATTAGTTGCTTCTATCTTTTATGATTCAATTCTATGCGTACCTTTTACGATTAACCATACGATAAAATAGTATTGTAATTGTGCTTATTTTTTATATGCTCCATATTAATTATACTTTGTATGACAATCCGCACAATGAGCGGGTAAACGTGTAGTGTTAAATATGCACCTCTTGCAAAATCTAAATTTGAGAGTGATTGCTTTTGTTTTCAATAATTTGGTTCCTTGTATCTCGGCACGCGATCAGCCTAGAGAACTGGTACTATAGGATATTGATACTGATGACCGGATATTTGCGAAACGCTACGGTCACGGTGGACGCCTTATCAATATGGTAAGTGCGATTTTCCTCGAACGCAAGAGATTTATGTGAGCATTGCCTCCTTGGACTGCAAATGTTTCTTCTTGTCTGAGGCTTCTGATGAACTGCTCATTTCATTCTCGTTGTAGCATGAGCATCAACGGATGGGAGATGATGATCCCTTTAGCCTTCCTTGCTGCCATCGGGTTCTCTCTCTCTCTCTCTCATATGATGCTTTTTGATCGTTTTCAGTCTATAACTACTTCTGGAAAATGTGCTCATCGTCGCATTACGATATTTATAGAGTGAGAGTGGCGAATGAACTCGGAGCTGGAAACGCTGAGGCCGCCAAGTTCGCGACCATCGTGTCGGTGGTTCAATCAACTATGATCGGCCTCTTCTTCTGTGCGCTCATAATGATCTTGCACAACAAATTTGCCTACATTTTCACATCATCCACCGATGTTCTCGAAGAAGTGGACGAGCTATCTTATCTTCTGGGTGTCACGATCCTCCTCAACAGCGTTCAACCAATTTTGTCGGGTGAGTTCATATATCGATTCCGTTAACAAATGTTTCAGGGCACTTCTTTCTAATTAGTGTCATGTGCAATTAATGCATCGGTGACGAAAATGTTTTCTCATTAATTATACTTAATCAGTGCTCTTGGACACTCATTAACAAGACCCTTTATATATTGCTTATTTTCGCATCCATCTCCTCGTTATAATGCATTCACAATGCCCAAATACTTACAAGAATTGAGAGGAAGCCGAGTGAACATACGTGACTAGAACTCTAAACCCCTTTCTCAGGAGTTGCCGTCGGATCGGGGTGGCAAGCGTATGTTGCGTACATAAATTTGGGATGCTACTACGTCGTTGGGCTTCCTCTTGGATTGCTCATGGGATGGGTGTTTCACTTTGGTGTCATGGTACGTATCCAAAGCCTCCAATCATTTGCTTTCCATTCGATGATAACTTGTTCCTCAATTATGTTAATCGTGATTCGGAAACATGGTAGGGTATCTGGGGTGGCATGGTGTTTGGCGGGACTGCAATCCAAACAATGATACTTGCCGTGATAACAATCAACTGTGATTGGGCGAAGGAGGTACGTGACTTTAGCACCAGAAAAATGCGGTTAACAAGACTAAGTAAGTACATAAAAGCCTAGAGGTATCAGTGACAAAGTCTAAAGCCCCAGATCGGCTAAGTGTACCCAGCGTATAACCAGAAAAAAATGATGACAGACGACAGGAAAACCTATCTCTAGAAGTCCAAAAACCGGTTCCTAATGATCATCGGGGCCAGCTAACTGCCCGTTGCCCCATTGTCGCATTAATACTTGCCGCCGAAGAGAACCAGCAATTGCTATGTGAAGCTTTCCTCCGATAACATCTTTGGGTATCAGTAGCGAGCCCGTCACTAAAGTAATTTACGTAGGCTATCAATGCCGGCCGTCCTTAATAACCGGACGCCTGGACTTAGTTCTTCATTAGTGTGTGAGCTTCTCGGTACCTGCTATGTGTGGGGTACGTTGCTAATTTTCACTTAATATAGGTCATTAGCTTGGTGTATCGCTACGAATCTAAAAAATTCACTTGATCAATGCAGGCCGAGAAAGCTAAGGCACGAGTGGCAAAGTGGTCTACTCCAGATCCTGAGTTGCTTGCTCTAGCTGATGGCTAGAACTCACATCTTCAGTATTGGATCAGCCTTTATTTTGTATGCACAGTCGAGTTTCCTCATACTTATAAATCTTTCCTAAACTTATGAGCAAAAAAATTGATGAACTGACTATAGTAATCTAGATAAGTCTCTCTGTGCAGGTCCTAATTTGAAGTAGGAGCAATCATGACAGGACTTTTTTTTCCCATACACTGAAGTTGAGTCGCTAGCATTGGTTGTGTGTGCCCTCCTCTTCATGTAAATTACAAACAAAATGCTACTAGTATCAAAGATTAATTGGTCAAGCACTTAGTTCAAATGCAACGGGATGAAGTATTCAGATCATACTCATAGCTTCTCTTATTCACATCATTAGGAATCCATGTTGTTCTTGCAGAAAATACTAAAATACCAATTCATCCACCCAATTGCAGTGTTGGAGCGATTCCATCAAGGTTTGAAGAACGTTAGTTAGTTCGACCGTTAGATGCTATAAGCGACCACGATTCTCATCGCGAGCTGTTTACTTCGAAAAGATGTTTGTAGACTATCATAAATCGACCGAGCAACTCATTTTCTAATTTGTCACACAAATTTGATAGGGAGAAGAACACTAGAAGTACCAAAACTTGTGTACGACGCTCACTTTAGTGCCAAAAGTTTTCACCGGCTCACTTAAGTGCCAAATCGGAGGAAAAACGATCACTTAAGTGCCAACGGCGAGAAATTCCGACCAAATTAATACGTGGCTTTTATAATTAAAATTTTAGTCTTAGTTGGATTTTTTTAAAAAAAAAATAAGTCTACGTGGCATTTCCATGTGTACATTTAGATTTTTTAAATATTTTTTCTGATTTTTTTTCCTTCTTTTCTTTTTCCTTCTCTTTCTTATTCTTCTACCTCCGGTCACCGAAGGCCGGCCACCAGCCACGGCCAACCACCTGGCATCGCCCGGACAAGGCCGAGGCCCGACCGACCCTCGCCTGAGCGAGGGCGGGCAAGCCCTAGCGAGGGTCGACCTCCCCTCGCCTGGGCAAGGTCGAACCCCGGCGAGGCCACGGTGGCCTCGTTGAATCTAGTGGGGGGAGCCCTCACCGAGGCTCGCCCTTGCCATATCCGGTGAGGTCGGCTGTCGCCGTGGCCACGGCGGTCTCGCAAGGCGTCGCCTTCCCCCAGGTGACAGCCGGCCTAGCCTAGGGGAAGGCGACGCCCCATGAGGCCGCCGTGGCCACGGCGACGGTCGGCCTTGCCGGATCTGGCGATGGTCGGCCTTGCCGGATCTGGCGATGGTCGGCCTCGCCTCGCCTGGGCAAGGGCGAGCCCCGGCGAGGGCTCCCCTCGCCGGATCTGGCGAGGGGAGCTCTCGCCGGGGCTCACCCTCACCCAAGCGAGGTGAGGCCGACCCTCGCAGGGGCTCGCCCGCCCTCGCCCAAGCGAGGGTCGGCCGGGCCTCGCCTGTGGCGGGCAACGGTGGCCTCATCCAGGCGAGGCCAGGAGGCTGGCTGCGGCCGGTGGCCAGCCTCCAGTCACCGGCGGTGACTGAAGGTAGAAAAAGAAGAAAAGAAGGAAAAAAAATCAGAAAAAATATTTGAAAAATCCAAGTGTACATGCTAAAACTACGTCGTTTTGATGTGTACATGCTGACTAAATCTTCCAGTGATCCACATCAGCTTTAGAAATTAATAAAAAAATGTCACGTCAGATTTCCGGTCAAACTGACCGGAGTTGGCACTTAAGTGATCATTTTTCAAAATTTTTTGCACTAAAGTGATCCAAAACAAACTTTTGGCACTAAAGTGAGCACCGTATATAAGTTTTGGCACTTTTGTTGTTCTTCACCTAATTTGATACGAGAGACACTGTCGGATGAACCCACCTATCAAGATCCACACAAATATGTCGCGGCTTTCACTTCGCTGTGGAGCGAAGTCTGACCATCAATGGCGAATCCAATCAATGGGAACTGAGATGTCAATCAGCTTCTGCTTCAAGAGTCACCTGCGAACAGCAGTCGTGACAGCGATGTTCGTGGGAGACTTGAAGACGAGCATGACGGCCAGAGTGTGGATAGAGACGAGGAAGATATGGCACGTTGCCGGGCCGGCCATACTCACCCGAGTGGCGACGTACTCCATGAATGTCGTCACCCAAGCATTCGCCGGCAAGCTCGGGCGAAGTTGAGCTCGCCCCATGTCCATCACCAACAACGTCATTCTCGGCTTCAACTTTGGCCTAACGGTGATTAATCCATTCTTATTGCCTTTTCTTGTGTTTGCGTCCATCTGAACATTAAGGAGTTCTTTCCTTTTGCATTCCGTATACAAGACTTATGAAGTACGACGTTGAACCGATAACTACTTACAGAATAGTAGATTTGCAAGTGAATTTGATAAATTCAGGGAATTACCAATTCACCTAATGAATGCGTACCATTTAAAGCTCAAATTGTAGGATACGACTCGAGAATCCGATTCTAATAGTTATGGCCTTGGGAATCAGCTTGGCATGGCGAGCGCTCTAGAGACACCGTGTGGTTGAGCCTTTGGCGCGAAGCGATACCACATGCTAGGCATCTATGCGCAAAGATCATGGATCGTCCTCTTGCTATGTTGCCTCCTCTCGCTGCCTCTCTACATCTTCGTGACTCCACTCCCGAAGCTCCTTAGTCAATTCAACGACGAAGCGGCATTGTCCGGCACGATTGCCCTGTGGTTCATCCCCTTGCGCTTCAGCTTCGCGTTCATGCTCCCGCTGTCCATGTTCTTGCAGAGCAATCTCAAGACCGTGGTCACGACTCTTGACTCAGGTCTCGCTGATAGGTCTGATGGTGAACGTGGTCGAGAGTTGGGCCTGCGTGAGCGTCTTCGACGTCTTCATGGTGGGTCTGTGCGTCGTGTTGGATCTGTCTTGGCGGCTCATGGTTTCGGGATTGTATTTGTACTCGCGTGCAGGGGTTGTGCTTTGACATGGATAGGATGGTCCATGGAGGCATTCTCGGGGTTGTGGGAGTTCTTCAAATTGTCTACTGGGGTTATGATCGGGTATCAGTTCTTCTAATTTCGAAATCGATTATCAATTTTTTTGCCTGATTCTATGATTTATTGTCATTGCATTCGATCGGCCTGGAGATTTGATAATATAGGATTTTGATACCGATGACTAAATTTGTACATGTGGATGCCTCGTCGATCTGGTACAAGATTTTGTCTTCGATTTTTCACTGCGGATGAAACTTCTATACGACTTTTGTTCTGATTATTTTGGCAGCATGAGCATCAATGGATGGGAGATGATGATTCCTTTTGCCTTCCTCGCTGCAATTAGGTACACAAACCTTTCCTCTATAATAATGTGCTTTCATTATCTCAAGAACCAAACACAATAAAAAAAAACTTTGGTGGGCGAACAGCTTGTAGTTTCGATTTTGAATAACGAATTATTGCTCAGCTGACAATTTGATGTTTGTCATTGTGCACACAAGTGGTTGCCCGGTTGACTTCATCTAATTTTTTGATAGAGTGAGAGAGGCGAATGAGCTCGGAGCCGGGAACGGCCAGGCGGCGATATTCGCGACTTCTATGTCTGTGGTGCAATCGACTGTCATCGGTCTCTTGTTTTTTGATCTTGTCATAGCTTTTGAACGGCAAATCTCCAGTTCAGCGTTGATGCGATCGACTGTCATCGGCCCTGGACTCAAGTGCCAGAGGAGGAGTGGTTTGCTTTGCGTTGCTTAGGTGAGGGGAGGCGGAGGACGTTAGGGCTCTGGGGGAGGAGTACCACGTGATCCTGGACTCGGACGTGGTGTACTAGGATCAACCGTACGAGCTACTATTGGAGACGCTGCGATGGCTGTTTGAAGGGAGCGAGAGGAGGAGGACGAGATGGTGTCGCGATGGCTCACCTGAGGAGGTGGAAGGACTCGGCATTCTTCAGGAAGGCATCCGACGTGGAGGCGACGTACATGGAAGAGCCACAGAGGTCGAAGATCGGGCTCGTTGTTTAGGAATTTTCGCTCTGTAATTCATTTTGATCTTTACCTAAAAGAATACACAGTGAGAGAGCTAGTGGGGGAAATTGAAACCTTGATCAAGTCTTTTTCTATCAGCAAACACACACTTTATTAGCAAATTTTTGGAGCATGCCACTAGGCCTGAGTAATTCTTTTGGTTGCCTGAGTGACAATTTGCCAATTGGTTTCCTGGTCAAGCATTTGGCTTTGTCCTGATTTCACCAATAGAAATCTGCCTCAATCCTTCTCATCGACAGTCATTTGAGCCGTAAATAATCTAAAGCATCAACTCTCATGGGCTATATTTTTAAATGTTTCGTGGGGATTTTGTCCTCTTAACTGCTGCTTCGTGCGACGTCCAGTGTGGCTAGATGTACGCTCACTCGCTCCCTTCCCATCTTTGCATGAGTGTGAGCTCGGTCGGCCCTATTGTTTTGCCGTTAAGTTATTAGTTTTTTTTTTTTTTTGGTAAGGTCCGTTAAGTTATTAGTTAATACCACGAAAAATCTCAAACTAATATACTTATAACAAATTTATCTCAAAGTAATTTTTTTGACCACAAAAAACTCCAAACTTGTACACATATGACAATTTTACCCCAAACTAATTTTTTGACCACCAAAAACTCCAAACTGGTACATTTGTGACAAATTTACCTTCCGTTAAATTGGATTAATATCACGAAAAATCACAAACTAGTGCACATGTGAAAAACGGAAGGTAAAACCCCATATTGCGACACTCGTTAACTGTCACGTGTCATTCAACTTAGAAATTTGACGGTATAATTTAACGGAAACTAACGGACGGTAAAATTATTACAAGTGTACTGGTTTGGGGATTTTAGTTTTCAAAAAATTAATTTAGGGTAAATTTATTATCGATGTACCAATTTAAGATTTTTCGTGATATTAACCCAAATTATTGTCGCATGCCGGATATCCGGGTCAACGCCCGAAAATTTCCTTTCTCATCTAGGAAAAGGCCAGTGAAATTCACGTGGAGAGAAGAGAACAAAGAAAAGTAAGGAAGGAGGAGTGGGACCCGCAAGGAAAAGAAAAAGGAGGAAACCAAATAAAAGGAGAGACGCCACGTTTAACTTAGAATCCCTTGGATGCCGAAAACGCGGGACCCATAAAGGTTAAAAATGGTCAAAATATTATGATAAGTAGTGTACTAACGAGAGAGTGGAAAAAGCGCGGCTCGATGAAAATTAACCTGATGAATAAAGTAACTAAAGATTCGGCATAGGAACTATTGAAGAACCCAATGTAACAATAGCATAGAAAGAAACGGCAAAATTACAGTTGTATCATGTATAGCGTTACACTCTAAAAAAAGGAAAAACAATATCTAAGTTTGATCTCGAGAAATTACCTGTAAAAATAGTTAACTACAAAAATTAGCTCCCTTTGGTATTTTTGCTATATACAACAACAGACAGTTCCGGTCTATTACGTAATAAAAGAATTACCGAATTTCCAACTCAGCATCCACTTGTCCCCACCTATGGCGTCCACGTCACCCCACGGCCGAGACCGTTACAGGAACCAAGTCCAGCCCCCTGAATCCGGCGCCGCTCCCTCCTGCCGCCGCCGCCGACGGCACCGCGTAGAGCTTCCTTGACTCGGTGAACCGTCCTATGAGCCGGGCCAACTCGGCCGCATCGGCCTTGGTTTCCTTCTTCACCAGCCTCCACCCTTCTCTCCTCTCCTCCTCTGCCGACGCCTTCGCCTTCAGCTCGGCGGCGGAGTCCCACAGCCCGTCGTTGTTCTTCCGGTTCCCGAACAGCGACATCAGCCCGTCCTTGCAGCCGCCCAGCCGGGTCAGCAGGCCCGCCAGCTGAGCCAACTCGGCGGAGCTCAAGCCGTCCAGCCTCTCCCCGAGCCCCGCCAGCCGGAGCGAGATCTCGGACCGGGTCGCGCCGTAGTCCTCGCCCACCAACCTGACCACCTCGTGCACGAGATCGTTCGCCCGGAGCCGCCCCGATTGATCGGGCGCCTCGACGACCCGCTCCAGAACGCTCAGCAGCGCGTCGAGCTCGATCAACAGCTCGGGGTTCGACGACGCCGACACCTTCTCGTCCCGGTCCCCGGTGGAGCCGCGGCGGGGCGAGCCGCACAGATAGAACCCGACCCGCCGCGAGGCGATCAGGGTCTGCTCCAGGAACTCCGCGTACCATCGCGCCCACGACGACAGCTCCCAGGCCTCCGGGTCCGAGCCGTCCCGGAACCGCGACAGGTTCAGGTAGTTGCGGCCGCCGCTGCCGGGGAAGAAGGACAGCTGGTCCCGGAGGATGAAGGTGCCCTGCGTGATGACGCGGTGGAGCGCGACGAGGCACTTGAGGGCGACGGCGGCGTCGGCGGCGCCGTGGAGGCGGTCCATGAGCGCCGCGACGCACGACCGCGCGGTGACGCGGGACCCGCGGCCGAGCAGGAGGACGGCGGCGAGTCGGTCCTCGGGGGGCGGGGCGCCGGGGGACGCGGAGGCGGCGGTGGCGCGGAGCACGGAGAGGCGGACGGCGGCGGAGGCGGAGGAGGAGGAGGAGGGGCGGGCGAGGGAGAGGGTGGCCTTGAGGATGGAGACCTTGTCCCTGAGGATGCTCATGAGGACTCGGAGCTTTCGCTTCTGCGCCATTGACGATGGAATTGCAGAGAGAGAGAGAGAGAGAGAGAGAGAGAGAGAGAGAGAGAGAGACGTTGAAGAAGGAGAGGAGAAATGTTTTTTTCGACGGTTAATTATAAAAAGAGGGAAAGCGGCGATGATGATACGAGGAAATATACAGAAGGGAATCGTACGCGGAACAGAGCGAGGTACGTGTGCGGTAGGTGGCTATACGGTCAAAGGGTCAAACCCGACCAATTTTTACCATTTCTTGTTTTGGACCAGATGGGAGGCCGAAAATACGGAAATGTTCATATACTATTAATTCAAGTTTTTTAAATTTGTTAGTTTGAAAAAGTAATTTTGGCAGGAAGCCGTAGTAAGGAAAGACCGATTTCGTACTTTGGTAGGACTTTTGAACGTAGAAAGCAACGGTGTAGATGAAGCTGCGGTGCTTGTTTAGGGAGATTGCATTTTAGATGCGAAATCTCTTCTTTAATGAGTTCGGAATCCGATCTACCGATTTCTCTCTCGACCGGTTCGATGGAAATTCGCCAATTTGCATTCGACGGGTTTATATGGATCACGAGCGGATTGTACGAGTTTAAGCCGTCGAACTAATTCGTGATATTATCTGTCTAGATGTTTCGATATTTCTTTCGGGTTATTTCTAGCCCTTATATAATAACTTAATCCAACCCGCTTTCACTAAAGAGGCGAGCATCTAATGTGAATTTAAAATGGTGGATCCCGAATTTATTTGCTTTCCTTCTTCTTTTTAGTCTTTCGATTTCTATATAAGATCTCGTTACCATAATTTAGAAAATAACATATTTTTTGGTGAGTATTACTCTAGGATATAAAAACACTCGTGCTCTCCCTCGGACAAACCCCGTTCTTTTCTATGTTGTCAAGTAGATTTGTGGATCAATTATGAAGTAAAACCCCGAAAAATATTAACATAAATAATCGAGGGTGGTTATGTCTATTTTCAAGAAAAATGAGTGAATTTAGTCAAATAAATGGTAAAAGGCCCCGCTCTTATTCTTTTTTCACGACCGCCAACAAATAGAATCATTCTACGTCGGCTACTGGTAATAAATCATAGGTTGAACGAAGAACGTAGTATGCCAATTATCTTACACCTTATATGTAAGTCATTCAGAGACTTTACACCAACAACTGGCCTTGAAGTTGGCCGAGAAAGAAACGATGAGGATTATTATTGAATCCACTATCGAAATCATAATAAAGATTAAAATAAAAGGTGACACCGGTCCCTTTACAGATGAATTCATTCACATGTCAAGCATCTAATTGCACTCCCATGAGTGATTTCTTACCGCGACAATGGGACCCGCTAAATATTCTTACTTAGGGGTGTCCAAATCGAACCGCAGCCCGAACTAGAAACTTCGCGCATTTTCTATTGGGTTTTCGGGGTAATGAAGAAGCAACCTCTTTTGTTTTTCTGCCGGTGTCGGTTCGGCTCAATTCGTAACCCCGAATCAAAAAACCGCCCAGACACAGTATCCTAATTCCTAACAATAATGGCCCCCAAGAAAATCTTGGTAGTTTTTCCACGTCCGCAATCTATGGCCGCGCGTCTCGGGATTCGCGAAAGCTAAACGAACGGGAAAAGGTGGGAGGAGGCAGAGACAGGTATCATTAGCCTCACTAAGGTAACGGCTAGTTTTACCTCGGGCTTTTGGACCCGACCCTTTCTTTTAACGTTTGGTTCTTGTCGGGATCAATCATTCGACCGCCGATCGTGGGACCGGACAGGACGAAAGGCAAAGGGACCCGCCATCGACACCGGGCCCACATGATGGGCCGGGCCCGAAACCGGAGCTCCGTGACCCGCCCATGGGCTCTCGGGTCCATTGACGCGGGAGCAGGCGAAGGGACGGGCTTTCTCGCCGCTTGCGCCCTTTTATAAGCATGGATTCGGGCCTGGGGGAAGATGAGTCTTGGGCCGATGAGGCCCGTCACGTTGAATCATTACACGTCCGGTCCGAGGTGGTAAAGCCTTCTGACTTGCTACGAGGAAGCAGCAACGAGAGCAAACATTTGGAATTTTAGTACCATGCCATGACCTTGCTCTTCATAGTCTTGATTGGGTACGTGAGCTTCGCGATGAGCATCGGACCGACCGCGGGTCTGGGCACTGATCTTTGGGCTTAGCTATCGAACGGCGAGCAAAGCTGGCGCCACGTGTGTAATTGGCTTCCCACGTCGGGTCAACAAGTGTTTAGACGACACAGCGTTATGGAATTTGAGGTGAGTTAAGCGAGAGTCATCAAAGTTAGGTACCAAAATAGGATTGAAACCACGCATGATATCGCCATCCCCTAGAGGCTTTTTAGGTTATGATCATCGAACGACTTCCAACCGTGGGAAAATTCAAGAAAACTTATTTTTGCATGTAACTTTCTTTGGGAAAATTCTCCAAAAAGTCATAAATATATTGTACGGCGGCCAATTCAATCCTAAACCTTTCAATTGTGCTAAAACATTTTGACAACTTGCCAATTTAATCCTAAACATTTTGATGATTTGTTAATTTGGTCCAAACCATATAACAATTTGCCAATTTAGTCCTTCCGGTTAATTTTGGCCAGAAATAGCTAACGCGGCGATATGGTCAGCACCAATCATCCTGCATGGCACGGCCGAAACTAACGCGACAATTTTAATAAGTTTTTGTATTTATGAATTTTTTTTCTTTTTATCCTTTTCTTTTTCCCTTTTATCCTTCGCCGGCCATCGCTAGGTCTCGTCAATGGCCGGTGGAGGTCGCCAGCCTTGGGTGAGGGACGCTCACACCTAGGTTGGCAAGGGTCGCCCTTGCCTAGGGGGCGTAGACCTCCCTCGCTTGGGCTAGCGAGGATAGGCCTCGCCCTCGCTCGATCCAGTCAAAATTGGCCGAAATGACTAAATTGGCAAATTGTTAAAAGGTTTATGACTAAATTAGTATAATTGAAAGTTCTAAGACTAAATTTGTAACTTTTCAAAACGTTTATAACTGAATTGGCACAATTGAAAGGTTTAAGACTAAATTGTCATTGAAAAATATTACAATATTATTAAAAACTGTCCATATCAACGCCGGCCGTGCCATGTAGGATTGTCAGCGTCCACATAAGCAATTATTGGGATGGATTCAATTGGCAAAATGTGAAAAGGTTTAAAACTAAATCGTCATAATTAAAAAGATTTATGACTGAATTCGGAAAAGTGCAATAGGTTTAGGATTTTTTGAATAATTTTCCCTCTTTGAATTGGCTGTTCTTATGTCATAACTATTCCTCTATATGCGGGTTTAACATTTTGGGAATTTATGCCCATCCTTTCTAATTAAATACTCTCCTCCCTCTGCAAAGGTTATAGTCCCATTTCACTATTTTTTTTTTTTGGTAACCGAGGTATCTGGCCACTACTTGCGTGCACTTTGACTATTCCTCGGGAGACCAAGACAAAGAACCCACCGCCATGGCCCCCCACTTAAATCACAAGTGCTCAGCTGGGGAATCGAATCTAGAACCAGTGCGCCTAACCACACAATCTCAAATACGCCCTATCCAACTGAGCTACCCATGGGTGGGTCCCATTCCACTATTTCTACTCCCAATAAACAATAAATCCTAATATTAAAAGAATATTGCTACCGAGTGTCTTCAAGACACTTAATAAAAATGTCGATATTTCGATGTTCGATACAATCGAGCGAGGAAATCAGTATATGAGCATTATGAAACTATTTAATTTAATTACTCAATGAGTATCTTGAAACTATTTAATTTAATTACTCAATAAGTATCTTAAAGACATTCGTCGATAATATTCATATTAACCCATATGGGGCCTCGAGCTGACGGGGTCCAATTCATAATTGGGGATCGTTCCCGAGCACAAGGTAATTTCCCCAGATTTTCTATATTCTGTAATAAACATCTAGTCACAAAAACTACGCGATCGCACCTTCCCAAAAGCAACGCAAATATTCTCCCGACCTTATCATTCTTATTTCCATCGAGAATTAACTTTCGACAAGCCGAAAACGCGCTTCATTTCTTGGCCATCAAAGGAAGAAGTACAGTTCACGGGGGTCGACAAGGCTTGTGAATGAAGCAAAAAATCATTGGGCGGATCCTGTCCAAGTCGTTCGCGATCTAAGCTGAATTCATCGAAACATGATTTGGGTCCATTCACCAGAATTTTGCGGCCACCTTGTCGCAGTAAGGACGTGACAGCATTCGTTCCCCCCCTTCCTTTTGGAGCATTAGCAAGAATTATTTATTCGTTCATTTAACTGGCTTCGACTGTACGAGAAGAAGAAAAGAAACAGAGGAAAACCACAGAAATGGCTTGAAGCCCCTGGTTTTTCAGGGTGCAAGGGAGACCTGGTTTTAGCGACCGGGCATCGTCACTGCGTAGCAAGAGTACAAAAGCGCACAGTGCCTGATGAGCCAATGCCCCCTCCCGCCCGTTGCTTGTTCCGTTCGATTCCGACGAAACCCGCCACGTCCAATTCGAGCCTAATGTTCCCTTCTCTTATCTCTGATGCTGATTCTCACCTATGCAGCGTACTGCATCAAAAGATTGACCATTTCACATGGGTGTCATAATCCCCTCCTTTTAGCTGGTCCCTAATGAATTATGTATTTGCGCTACATGGCATGGCAGATGCATCTTCGTCTTTGCATGGAAGAGGCCAAAAGATTGGGGGACGGATAGGGTCCAAGTCCGGAGTCCGAGCTCGGCAACACGTTTAGTTGGACAGCCTTCGTTCAAAAGTTTAAGCTAACAAGAATGGGGCAATAAGCGTGTAATACTTGCTCCACACTTATCCAATTCGGGACAGTGCGTCTAACATAACTCACGTGTATAGATCAACGATATCCCCGCATGTGTGAGCTTCCAATGTTGGTACGCTCCCTTTACAGGGCTTCCTTTTGCATTACATATAGCTACTTGACTCTCCATCTTATTGTGTCAAGAACCAACACCCACAATGCCGACCGTCTCCCCTG